ATATTAATATGTACAACTAAAATTACTAATAAAGATATGAGCAAGGCCTCACCTTAATACCAAAAAAAAAAAAATATTATATTAGGTGGAGGCAGATATAGTGAAATCTAAAGTTCCAAATTGTGTTCAGTTAATTTTTTTAATCAAATTTGTACTTTTTATTTATTTATTAACTATATTCTTATTAGATAAAACCAATAATAGAACCTAGAATTTTAAAGATAAGTATAATTGACATATTAAAGTTAAGTATTAATAATTTAATTAATATTTAACATATGCTCATTAGGCAATAGCAGTGGCAAAACCTAAATTTCAAAAAATAAAAGTATAAATAGTAAGTATGAATGATCATTTCTTATATGAAATATTATTGTATATTAATATTTATTATATCTTCATTATGTGACAACAGTGACAAAACCTAAAGCATGAAGAAAAGTATAGTAAATTATTTTAAAATTAAAATAACAATAAATATGTATAGTTCATTTTTTAGATATTAAGGTTGTTAACTTATATGTAAGTTATTATAACTTATTGTAACTTACTATAACTTACTGTAACCTTATATAAGTTAAAGTAATTTACATATAAGTTACAGTAACTTACCATGTAAGATATATTGTCAGATAAATTTAATACCTTTATTCAGTATTTACCATATTCTCATTAAGTGATAGTGACAGCAAAATCTAAAATTTTTAAGAGATTTAAGCTGTTATTTTAACTAAATGCTAGTTCTTATTTAATATTTATCATATTTTCTACAATATTATATAGTAATAGTAATGGTAAGGTCTAAGATTTAAAAAGGTATAATTATCACTTTTCATTTGTAGATAATTTAATATCATCATATTTTTTTTTATATTAGATAGTGAATTTTAAAAATTTTGAAAATATAATAATTTTATATTTAATGCTTAATTCTGTTTATCATTTCTTATTAAATACTTATCATATTTTTCATCACATTGGGCAACAACTGCAACAAATCCATAATTTTTAGATAAGTATGAACATTTTATTTTCAATTAAGGATATTATTTCATCTTCAATCTTAATCATATTTTTCATCATATTAGGCAGCAGTAGTGATAATGGTGACAAACCTAAATCTTTTTGGTTTTTTGTTGTTGAAGTAAAAATAGTTTCACATTCTTATGCTTAATTACAACTATATACTTTAATTTTAATAATACTACAGTATTAGGTGGCAGCAACAACAATGAACTCTAACATTTTTTTTATTTGTAATTATTTTCTATTTGTATTTGTAGTATTAACATGCTATAAAAAACAATGAATTAATAGTTAGCAAATAAATAAACATGCAACTTACATCATGAGTGCTTTTATTTTTATAGAGTTTACTTTACTATAATAATATCTTTAGGTTTTTCCTATAGATTAGCATATAATAATAAAATAATGTATAGTTATTCTGTTGGTACGATCATAGTAAGGTGCCAGATAATTATTATTATTTGTATAATATGAGCTTATTAATCTTTTATAATGATTATTTCAGTTTCGTTAAATGTTTTTTATTATTATATAACTAAGTAATTTATATATATTTTCATTTAGCTTATTTAATATAAATTCATGCTATTAAAAAATTCGAATAAACAAAAGACAATACTTGCAATATAAGTATTAGTTCTTTCTCATAATTGTATAGATTTAATATTAAAATAAATCAATTTTTTAAAAAATAAAAAAAATCTAAATTACTTACAAAAAAAATAATACAAAATAAAATAATATAAAAAAAAACATTACAAAGAAAGATATGATGAAAGATTATATGTTATTACATACAAATATTCTATTACTGGCTAATTTTCTCAATCATTAAAAACTGCCATTATTCTTCTCCCTTTTTTAATATAATATTTGTTTAGCTTGGGTCTTAGTTTTTTATAAAGAATATGTTTAATCTGAACATTAATGTACTGCTGTTCTTTTTGCAACTCATTTATTAATATATAAATACTTACATGTTTTTCTTTCAACTAAAGCATTTCAATAACTATGCCAAGCCTTCACAAAGTTTTGTGTTTGTAGAATATCTAAGTCTATTAACTCATATATAAACTAAAATCATGGATGAAAAAAAGGCAAGTTACAGACTACTGTATCTTTATCTTGCCTAATTACCCTTCTAATATAGTTATTTTCAAATCATTGAATCATATCACTTGCCTCAGGAGGCATATTAGCCTTTAAAATTTTAAAACCAGCAGAAATCTTATTTGAAGATAAGAATAGCAAGGCAAATAAATGCCAGATCATAAGACTAAAATGAATATTATTGCTATATGTAGTAACCAAGCTATACTCCTGGATTTTATGCTATTTAATTTGGCATAGATGAAAGTAACACAATTTATTTATTGCATTAGGTAGCTCACAACATGATGCATTAATTACAGCTTTCTCAAAGTCTGTAATTATCCATATTGAATTTAATTGAATATTTATTTTATCATCAAATTTAGACAACCTTCTGAAGAACAACCTATATTTGGAAATTTTTAATGATTATAAACTTTAATTATAATAATAAAAATTTTATTTTTATCTAGTTAAAATAGAATAAATCCAAGGTTTATCATAGAATTATATGTATTACATGAATTGGTACTCCAAAATTTGTCTAACTCTAATGCAAACATACATTTTTGATACTCTTTCATCTACTTTTTTGATACATCTAACCTTACACTAAAACTAACCAATAAGATCATACATTATTATATAAAAGTTAGTAAAAAGTACAGAAATTTTACAATAGTTTAAATGTATCAAAAAAGTAGATGCAGAAGCATCAAAAATAATAAAGTATAATCACATGATTTTAATCTAAATTAAAATAATTTAAATCATTATTAACTTATACAATTTTTTTAGATTTTTCTGTTATCATTGCATACTAGCGTGTGACCCATCACGTTGCTCTGATTTTAAAATATAGTTTTAAGAAAAGTAATTAAAGTAAATTATATATTTATATAAAATTAAATTAATATTTATATA